CTCGAAAACGAAAAGTTGTACGAAACTATGATTACGCATTTAAGATAGGTATACTATTTCAGGCATACTATAAATAGATACTATTTAATTGTAACTTGTGTGATAGAAGTGAAATATATTAATATTTTATGATACCTTTATAACCTGAAATATATTTAACTGTAGTTTAATAACTCTTGATCTGATATTACATTTAAATAATTAGGTATCTATCGTCCATTTTTTTTTCCGAAAAATCATTATGTAACCTTTTATAAAATTAAATTAGTGAATAATTTTATAAATTTTACCTTTGCAATATTCCAACACAATCAACTTACAATCAGTGTCACATCTTTTGACCTGCTTATAACAGCCAATGCAAATCTCTTAATTCCGTTTTAGTAAACTTTGCAATGGAAAATAACAATTTAATAACTAATAGTCGTACAATCCATATTCAATCGGTGATATAATAATTTGGACTTAGGACTTGCCTATTGTCGATGTAATAAATAGACTTCTTGTAATTTTAATGGTCTTAATGATTTGTTATTTGTAAGCTTTAAGCTTTATGCTCCGTTTAAAATGCACTTCAAAAATTCTTTAATAGCCAATCATAGCCAGAAAATAATTTCTATTCAAAGTTGAGTGGTAAGTGAAAGTTGTGTGTTGCACCCACCAGATTTTTTTGTAAGTGCAATGATCATTATATATTTTATCTTTAACAATTTAACAAGTCTTGGGAAACGGCAAGAAACTTTGATGATTCAAAGCTAGATGTTCGTCCAGGTGGAGTCCTAGGTATCGGCTTTGTTGAACAGGGATAAATGGACTATTATTAAAGCATACTGTATGATAGGAAGTCCTTGGTTTATGAGGAAGAGTAAAGGTGTTTTGTTGAGATTTAGGGGTCTGGGAGAAAATGGCTGGATCAATTTTTAAGTTTCTTTGCTTAAATTATTAGTTGAGATCTCCTGAATGTTTTAAAAAAATTTGAGCTAAAAATACTGATCTGTGATTGAATAAAATGTGTTTAATCGATTTGCTAAGAGGTACGTAACGATTTTTCGAGCGAACGGCTAGATAGATTTTTAAGTTAGATATATTACATTATTCGGTGGGGTCCCGTGATGTTTTTTTTTAAACAAGTCGAGTTAAAAGCACTGACCAGTGATTGAATATAATGTATGAGATTCCGTGAGAGTTTTGAAAGAATTTTAGCTCAAAATTTTGTAAAATTGCTGTGTTAAGTGTGTTTAATCAATCCGCTAAAAAGTACTTAACGATTTTTTGAGCGAATAGCATGGTCTATTTTTGACTTTGACGCCTGTAGTTATTCAGTTAGATCCCGTGAATGTTTTGAAAAAAATTGAGCACAAAATACTGAAAACAAATGTTATTATATTGGGTGATAAATATTTAGGACGCATTCATTACAAGGTTTTTGTTAGTGACAACGTTTCAACCCAAACGTGTGGGTCATCATCAGGGCGTGGTTCGAGCACTGAAAATATTCATGTACTGGTGATCGTACCACGTCCTGATGATGACCCACATTTTTGGGTTGAAACGTCGCCACTAATAAAAACCTTAAAAAGACTAACATGGGACCCACATACCAGACTTAAAAGACAACAGCTTAACCGACGATATGGCCAACTATATAGACTACTCAATAGAAAATCTCAACTTTCAGTTGAGAACAAACTATTAATCTACAAGACAATCCTGAAACCTATCTGGACCTACGGACTCGAACTGTGGGTGACAGCAAAACTTTCCAACATCAAACGCATTCAATCCTTTCAGTCTAAAGTTCTCCGAACAATAGTCGATGCTCCCTTTTATGCAACCAATAAAACCCTACACAATGACCTTAATATCCCATTTGTACTTGACCTAATCCCAGACAAATTTTCCAAATTTTACCAGAATCTCACTCATCATCCTAATCCTGTAGCACACTTCTACTTCCAGTCATCCCTACAATCCTCCTCGGAGGTTAAAACGGCAGTGGCCCCGCGACCTTTTGTAAAAATGTATATATTGGAGTACTGGCACTGGCCAGATTCTTCACTCATGTCCTGAGCGTCTGTTGCTCTAGTGCCCTCCATCAGCCTCCACTGGCTTACTATATCAGTGACGCGGCTGGGAGAGAAGCACTGGGATCTCCTGGAGTCCTGCTTTGGCTTCCACAGTTGGGGGACAAAGCTTGATTCGGAGTCCCCTGGGCCAATGCAAATATTGTACATAGGTGTAAATGTGTTTTATTTGTTTTGTTATTTTTCGGCTGGTCTTTTGTTTTAATTATCTTGTATATTACTTTATCTTTATATATATATATATATATATATATATATATATATATATATTTTTTTTTTTTTTTTTTCTCTTTTTTATGTACATATTGTGTGAATGAATACTATAACACTAGTACCAATGCCCTTCAGTGTGGCAGACTGTATTAATACTCAATAAAAGTTAAAAAAAAAAATAAAATAAAATAAAAACCTTATAATGATTGCGTCCCCGTAATATTTATCACCCATGATATGTAGAACAGTCGACTAACTTCCTTCAATAAATGTTTTTATAGTTTAAGTATCTCGATTATTAAGTGTTTTGTATTCATATCATGTTATCATATGATATCCTTATGAAAATGAAATATATATTAAAAAAATAAAATAAATAAATATATTTGAAAAAAAAAAAACGACTACAGAACTTGAGAAATTCTATCAACCCTGAGGGAATGTATTTCCATATCTACTGAAACATCTTTGTAGATTGAGAGGGAAATTGACATCTACGAATATTTATACTTAATGTTATAGTCGTGTTCCTATCACAGCCGGATCGAAACTCAACCCTCTTACGGATGTTGATATGCGCCGATGAATGGGACGAAATATATTTGCCTAGAGCCGTAATGTGTAGTGAAAAGCACCTGACTATTACACCAAGACTAAATATTCGTAGATTACAATTTCTCTATCAAGCTCCCAAGATGTTTAAGTAGATATGGCAGTACATTCTCTCAGGGTGGTTAGATTTTCCCGATTATTGTAGCCGGTTTTTTTTTTTTTTAATTCAACATTTTTTTTTCATTTCTTATTTTCTTATAAACAAATTAACTGAAAAAAAATCTTGTAAGAATCTTAAATGATCATTCATAGATTAAACACAAATCTTGTAAATAAGCATTATATATATCAAAGAGACATTACTCAGTTTGTATTTCATGATTTGAACAAAGAAGTTTGCCAGGGAAGGACGAACATAATTTTCCCCTTGGTTCCTTCTTTTATAACCACTCCAAAATTAAAGATAACAGTTTTTTGAAATTATTTTAAGGAAATGTATTTAGAATTAAATATCAACAACACATAACATTAACACATTGTATTGACTGACTTAAGGTTAAAAAAGGAATAAATATATTTTTTTTTCTTTGTTTCGTCGGCCCAAGACTCCTACAAAACCCTATACTGCCCAAAGGTATAAATATATGTAAATAACTAGAGTCATGATAGAAATGAACATGAGATAAGTGGAAAATATAGTAAACAATTTGTGTCATATAAGATTGAGTGGGGACTAAGTTATAGGTTTCTCTACATTGCGTTGTTTTTGGCATTAGATAATACTATAAGTAATGCATGAATAGATAGAGGTTATATATAGTTATATATAGAGCTTGTTGAATATATCTGTTCAACTTCTATATCGATATGTTATACGGATATGCCGACGATAGGCTTTATGGCTAGGTATGGATAAATGTAATATCAACATGCGAAGCTCTAAATGACTTCGATGCGAGAAAGGGACTATGGTAAACAAAATAAACATAAAATATATACACACGGCAATCTCACAACAGAGCAAGAAGGAATCGTATAAACAATTACGCATAAGGTTCAGTGATTATGAGAATTTGTGCTCCCCAAATCCGAAGTGAATTCTTCAAATAGAATAATTAAAGTAATAAATTAGTATTAACAGAAAACCGCTGCTATTTCGCTCTTCAGAAATATATCCGTCGTCGAGCTCTACCCTGGGCCGCAATAATAGAATCTATAAGACACTGATCCACCCAGTCTTCAATTATGGCTCAGAAATGTCGTCAATGACTAGAAATATCGTCGTTCCTGAGATTCGAGAGGAACACATTCATCGAAGAATATTCGAACCAATATGTATGGTATAAGCAAAAGCTTTATACTGATTCAGACATAGTGATATTCATTGAACTAGGATGTCTAAAGGTTGATCATGACATAAACATGAATCTAAAAGAAATCCCACGGAAGATATTTAATCAGCAGATTTATAGAACCAGGAGAGTTGGTCGGCCAAAGCTTAAATGGGCGAATTCAATGGCTACTGATGGCAGGATTATCCTTGGTTTCCGAAAACGGAAGTCTTATGCACAGTCGTTTCTCTTATTCCACTCGATCGTTCCATAAATTAGAAATACTTTTATGACACTCAATGAGAGAGGACTTCGTTCAGCCAATTTGATGTAATGTCGCTGATTTGGCCCGAACCAGATACCTATCCATGCATGATAAACTTCAGACGCATCCGAACCCACTTGTTTCCAGCCTTGCCTACTTCTCGATTCCGGATAGTTCTCCTAGGTGTTTGAAAAGAAGATAGCCTCGGGATCTTCTTATTTAAAACTATTTTGGGAATGCTGCCATTGGGTAGTATCCTATATGTTATATTATAGAAGCTTCTGTATAATCAAATTGAATGAATGGAGTCCTTTTGAGTTTCATAATATTATTCCTTTTCGACGGCTATATATACCACCCTTCGGTCGTAGCGTCATATAATAATAATTAAACTTAGATAAAAATTAAAATGGTGATTTTAAAGAGGTAACTAATATATATGCCAGTCTCAATACCCCGACACTTGTCTGTTCGTCTCTCTCTCCCAGAAATTTTGGTTATTCTCCCCGTAATTTATATTATTTTATATTAAGTTAATAATTTATTAAAACTTACCATATGAAGATTCATTTACCCCTTCTGTCGTATTTCTTGTATCTCTCTGACCTCTGGAAGATGGCCCAGGTGAGGACCTCAATATTTCCAATTCTCGGTACGGCATCTTCCTCCTCCTTTTAGTGAAGAAAACTATATCAAAAATCCCATATTACATACATTAATACTAAGAGTTAAAAATAATGAAGAAAACCGTCAATTAATAAAGCACGTGTATTGCTCATGAAAAAAGGAGTATTAAAACTTACGGATGAAGTTCAAAGGTTATTTGTAAATTTACATTGTTACCACCCTCTCTCATATTTGCAATTATAGTATCCCTTAAGTGTGCTGAACTAAGCTATTAATTTTAATTATTTTAATTACTTGTCTTTAAAAAAAAGTAAAGATGTTTAATAGAGCTTCATTACTTTTCAAAGTCAACAATTTTTAATAAAAGTTTGGACATAAAAATACCACCACAGATAGTTTTGTCAGCACTGTTCCTCTTGTTTATCCTAAGAAGAGTGTTTAAAACCATCCTTGTACTTGTTATTTCTATTGAAAGTCTACTATTCTTATATCCATTTATTTGTTTATCTATATATTCCTCTATCCTTCATAACCTGTTATTTGTAATAGCTTTATTTACCTATATTCTGTTATTTATAATTTATTTAGTGATAAATTCGAAATTTTTCAACAATTGAATTGGATTGACGGATGACTGTTCTCCGATTTTTAGTTATAATTTAACACTACGATTCTAACTCCTCTATCTATAGGCATCTTATGTTTTCGATCCAAATTTTCCATGGAAGATTGATTGAACTGAATTCATTTACTTAACGTTTGTCTAGAAAATTACATTTCGCGGCTTGCGTTCCGTAGAATTTCCTATTCGGTTAATGGTATGAGCATTATCAGTTGGATCAATTATCAATATTGCTGATATAAAAGAAATCAAAATTTTAATTAATATTATTAAAATAATAAAATTACAGAAATTCGTTTGTAAATTGTTAATTTTTTAAAAAATAAACCAAATTTATTTTATGGACTGAATATCTAACATGTTGGACATAATATAATGAGCATCATTAATTTATTTTTACAGATGGCTTGAAAATGTAGAGATAGCTGAAACGTTGCCAGTGTAGAAAAATAAAATAAAAAATGGTGGAATAAATACAGCCAAAACCTTTTATTATAAAACATAATTTCACCTTAAACGAAAAAATTATAAAAGCAAATTTATTTTACTTCAAATAGAAATTTATTGGAGATGGTCAATCATTAGAATGAAAAAAAATTGTCAAGATTTACAGTCAAGAAGTTTTATTAGGTTAGCCGATATTTCGACCATACATGTGGGTCATCTGCGACCGAAATACGAAAATATATATATACTTATGTACTTATATTTATTAAATATATTTTCCACAATCATAAAATCCTAGAATTTTTTATTTATTTATATATGTATAACTGTATATAAAAAAATACATCTAGTAAATTTGCACACGGATATAATGACATGAAACACATGTTGAGAAACTACCCATTGGTAGCACTCTGATAATATGACTTTATTAGGAGATCACGTGGCCATTTTCTTTTCAGACGCCTCGGAGGTTTATCAGAAATTGGATAGGAAGAAAGGTTAGAAACAAGAGGGTTGGGATGGTCATGAAGTTTATTATGGAAGGATAGATATCTGGATTGGGCCAAGTCTGATACATAAAGAACATTAAGGTCATTATGGATGATTTTATTTGTAACAAAGTAAGGAGCATTGAGTATTTTACTAAGGATTTTGGATTGTAAGGATTGGATACAAGAGGAATTTGAAGGTTTGGTGTAGCCCCATAGCTCAACTCCGTAAGTCCAAATAGGCCTTATTGTAGTCATGTAAATGAGTCTTTTGTAATTAATTGTAAGGTTAGAGCATTTGTCTAGTAAGTGTTGAAGTAGTCGGAAACGTCGAGCGGTTGCTTATCGTTTCAGTCTGTTATGAAGTTCAAAGAAATTAAGTTTATAAACAAACTAATGGTTGTAAGTGGATTTTTGTATATTTATTTATATTACATTATCTGTTAAATATTTAACAAGTTTAGAATCAATATTGTTTATTAATAAAAAGGTTTATTACTTAAATTTAGTTGATTTAAATGATACCTACCGCCAATCTTTAACGTACATGTTACATATTATAGATAGCCAACCAATGGTCCAAAATTTTGACAAAAATCTAAAATCTTGACAAATTAAAGGTTAACTTTTTAAATAATAATATAATTATTAGTCTTACTTATACACATCCTGGAATACACTTTACAAAACAAAATCAATCAAAAGCCAATTTCAGTTTTTTTTTATATTACCTTTCAAATTAAAATTTGATAATTTAAAAAATAATTCGTGATATTACAACAATCTGATTGAACCATGGAAAACAGTTTTATATTTACTGTCATACAATACATTTTTCAATCTTTAGTCACATGGAAAGATGATCAATTATAGTAGGATCTTTGCAGGGTTAATATTTATAAAAATAATATACTTTAGTTTAAATTGAACTTACATTTTTAAATGATAGGATTATAAAATAATTTAATAAAAAATAAGTAAAAGTACGAATTTTATTTCGCAGAAACTAAACCGTAAAAGTTTTCAGTAAAACGTTATATGAAATTTCTTGTTATTTAATGAACGAATACATTTTTTTTTCATATATATATATATATATATATATATATATATATATATATATATATATATATATATATATATATATAAAGAAGAAATGTATAAATAATTTCCTATTTTTCGATAAGATAATATTTTCCGAATAATATAGCAGACATTGTTTATTTTAAACTGTACAATGTAATCAGTATTAAGTACACCATGTATATACACATGTTGATAATTCTTATGCGATAACGATTTGTTAAATTTAGCAATAGAACAAATAAATAATAATAATAAATCATCATATTTAGGAAAATTGATAAATTGAATTCGACTTGAAAAAGGTTGAGTATGATTTGGAAATACTATAAATGGCAAAAAAAGATCATATAAAATGTTAATTACTCTATACGGGTATATGCTTTCATAAAAATAACCATTTATTTTATTTAATAATTTTTATATATATTTATAAATATATATACATATATATAAATTTATATACATATATATAAATATTAAATTTGAAAAATTAATTGATAGTGTTAATTATTTCTCTTAACTGTAAGAAAAGAAAGCCAATAAAATACCGCTTTTTCTAAATAACATTAATCACAAAAAAAATAAGGGAAATACTTATATTCGAAACACTCATAAGTGTGTAAATTAATAAAGTATTGGTTAATACGTATTTACTACACTTACAACTTACCAATACACTCTCTTCCGCAATTATCACTATCTGGAAGGAAAACCCGTCTCCAAGTATCATTAAACGAAGCCAGTTTGCCTGCTATACCTAACCTAAAAATAATTTGACGTGCTTGTCACCAAGATAGCTTGGGGAATGGAATTGAGTCTCAACAAGAAGATGAAAATATAAACGGAATGAGGACTCTGGACTTAAAACTAACTAAACAAAACAGTTCTTACCGGCTATGAGAGTTGGATTACTATCTCCACTTGTGTAATAACGAAAGATTATTTTTTTGTGTATGCCTAGATTTTATTCATTTGTATCTGAATTGAAACATAATTTCGAAAAGAAAGAAACCTTCGCGTTTCTTCATATGAATTGTTCCTTCCTAGATAATTTTTAACATAAGTAATCATATATATTAAAAAAAAAAATTCAATACATTTTTAAAAAAATACATTATTAATTTTTTAATAAAAATAAATAAGTTTTCTACGTTCTTAAAAGTTTTTTTTAAATGTTTATATACCATATTTTTATTCCGTGATTATGGAAAATAAATCATTAGCTTCAGTAGACGTATATTAACAAAATAATATTAATAAATAAACTACTAACATCGTTATTTTTTTTATTTTTTAGAAATATAATAATGTGTCACGTGGACAATAATTATAGTGATATATGAACACATTCACACCATATATATACAGAAAATATAACATTAACAAAAGTAAAATAATAACTAAGTAATAATCAAAAACTATGTACAGTAAAAAATAAAATAATCTAAAAATAAGTAAATTAAAAACATAAAAACACAGTCATACATACATAAAATATATACAATCAGGCAGGGAACCACAAGCCAGGCTTCTTCCTTCAAACATAGAAGGAAAAGCAGGACTCCAAGAGATCCCCGTACTACTCTGTAACATCTTAAATAAAAAAAAAATGTTTTCTGTAAAATTAAACAAAATTAAAATAATTTCTGAACTCAAAAAATCAAATGTGCTAAAGCAATAACATCTTTACCCCAGGACACCGCGATCCATAGTTCTTTTCAAATTCTGTTATTGGCATTAGTACGAGTGACAAACCAATGTACAATTTTCCGAACAATAAAAATACCTAATACCTAATAAAAAAAAAATTGGTTTTTAGTGCAGTAAAGTTAGAGAAAAACAGCCTTACCCCAACATTCGAAAATTAAAGAAGAAACTTGTCAGAAATTGTTCATTAATCTCCCCAAAATAACTGGTAATAAATTCCAAAGAATCCAACATCGGGTTTTCTTGGGGGGAGGGGACAGAAAACTGGTATTTTAAAAGTTTTTCGAGCTTCGAGTTTATATTAATTATGTTGAGTTTACATTTTCTCTAATTGAGAAAAAACATTATTAGTACGGTAAAATTAGGAATCAACCCAAATATTTTTTCATCCGTTTACTCAATTAGGGATGAATCTCAACTTACTCTGTAATAAACCACAACTTAACTAATATACATTTAATGCTCATCAAACAAGAAAGTTTTTCTGAATGTGTGGTATCTTCAGACCAATTGGGGAGCTACAAAATAAATCGCCAAGAATCCTTGATTTATGAAAACCCGAACTTACCGTGGTTTAACTGCTTAAAGTCCCCTATAAAAAGTTTCAGAAAAGTCAAGATTTACACGCATTTAATGTAAATTTAATCTAGTTTACTATGAAGTAATTGGTTGTAACCTAAATTAAACATTTTTTAAGTTATTGCTTTTTATTCAACATAAAACGTGGTTGGCTTAAAAATTACAAAATTTAACTTTTCTGGTTCTCTGTATGTAATCAGACCATGGTTTATGGTAAGTTTATAATAAGCTTTAATGCCTTCTATCACATGTTATTTGAAAAAAAAAATCTAAAATGTCAATCTAAACCTCTCATCATTATCACGAAATTTCCCATTGATTGATATCGAATATCATTCTGATGCCAATAACTTTTAAGAATCATTAAACGAAAGAAACTTTGAATAATAATTTGATATGATAAATATAATCACATAAATATATATCCCTGACCATTGATTTTATAAAAAAAAATTTAAGGATCATTTTTATAGAGATTTTAATGTGCTTTAATATCGTAATGAACAAAATTTGCGAAAAACCTCATAGTTTTTGAGATATTCCCAAAAAAAAACTAAAAAAAGCAAACATTTTTTTGACTTCCACCTCCCCCATAAAAACCCGACGCGGGATTCTTTGGAACTTTTTACAAGTTATCTGGAAGGTAACGAACAATTTCTGACAAGTTTCATCTTAATTTTTGAATGTTGGGGTCAATCTCTAATTTTACCGGACTATTTATGTTAAGGCTGGTTTACACAGTTAGGTATCTCGATCAAAGTCTTGATGAAACTAACGTTGGGACAATCGCGTAAATGGATTTTATTTGATCAGTCCCGGAATCAAATTGTTGGGTTTTTTTCCTCAATGCTCCTCGTATTAAGAAAACACACTGAATAGTAAATTTGAATTGTGAATACTATTAATGTGTGGATTGAGGTATTATCAAAAAACCTCTGAATGCACAAAAATATCAAGAGTTCTTTGTCTTACAGAAAATACTGTATGCTATTTTTATTAGCAGATTTTTTTTTATTTTGCCTTCAAAGATCTTAACAACATTTCATATAGATAGTTTGTATCTTTTTTTTTTTAGAGTAATTACCGTTATTAAAAAAAACAAAAGTCCTCAATATTAATTCCTGGATCCGTTACTGACCTAAGTTTTATAATATTATTTTCTGTTTTGATATAGGATTACTTGATAATGATAGTTTAACTGAATACACTTTAAATACTTTTGTAAAATGTTCATAACGTGCCAAAAAAATTTCGATATTTTTTTTTATTTATTCAGAACATTCTTCATACCTTCTTATTTGCATGACGAGATCACGATATTTTCGAGCTTAATACAAATTATAATTTAATGGAGTTCGAATTTAAAAAAAAAAAAAAAAATAGCTCTGAAATCAATATAACTAATTGAAATAGATATTCATCCGAAGAGGTTACGTTATGCAGCTGACGTAATTAAAGAAATTATCATATTACTATTATCATATTGGGTGGGCAGAGGTTGAATTGTAAACGGGTATTGTCTTAGTTGAACATCTGTCGAAACAAAAGGATTAATTTTATTCACCTCTCAAAAAATTCAAAGTATTTTGAAATATATCTATACGTGGTTCCCTTCCATTCTAGTTGGGAGGGAGGGGGGCGATGAACCCACGAAAAAAATTGTCGGTTGCTTATATTATGCATAAAAATCTGATGCGGGCATCACACAACTTTCACTTACCACTCTCTTCTTAGCATAAATAAGTATTTCTAGACAAAGGGGAAATGAAAGTAAAAAATTACAAACGCTATATTGATTTATATTTCATTGTGGGTATTTTTATAAGTAAACTTATATAAACAAATTTTAATATCTATATCGCTATAATCTATACAATTAAATATTAAATAATACCAACACTAGCATCTATGAAGACCGCATATGTATATTTACATAATATTGTCGGAGTCCTTATTATATTAAACTTATGTTACTCATGGAAGCATGTTCTAATCTTTCGGGTGAGCTCGGGCGCGCTCGTATTCCTTTGGTTCCTCAATTACAACTATCCTCCGTTACGACCTCTTATTTATCCTTTAATTACTTATCAAATTCTTTCATATTTTATATTTAACTATCATTTGTATTAAAAATTATTGTGAAATGGTCATTCGTTTCAAATAAAAAATATTAAAGGTACTTTAGGGGAAGCTAATATTGAAAATTAGCCATTTAATCCCTGTTAAAAAACATCAATCAGAATAAAAACTACAGTTTATTTAAAAATGCTTAATTTTACACTGATATGATGAATTTAATCAAAATCGTTTGAATTGTATTCGAGAAAATCTCAAAAATGTGTTTAGTCTATAATATAAAGTTCCGGTAAGCCGATTTTGAAGAAAAAGTTGCTGTAACATCCCTAGCATATACAAATTTTAAATATGCAATTTCACTTGCGTACGACTTCTCGTTTTGAAGCTAGACTGTTAACAAAGACGAACACAGACATACGCACACACAGACCATTTTGCGGGACTTGGTTATTTGGACTCAGGGGGCATCAAAACGTGTATTTCCGTTGAAAACTGAGATTCGAAAATTTTCACGATCGCTATACTTTCCCCTACTATATATTTCATATATAGGTAAGTGAAAGTAAAAATTATAAGTGATAATCAACATAATTATTGTAAAACGAACAATATAATCTATATATATAAAAATGAATGTATGTCTATCTGTCTGTCTGTTTGTCCTTTGTGCATTACTAAACCATTCATCCGATCGCCATGAAACGTTGGGAAGTTGTTCCGTACACTCCTGGGAAGGTTTCTGGCATAGTACTTCTGTCTTACGATAATTTTATATATGTAAAAAAATATAAATGTAAATGTTTTTCTGTTCAAAGCTGCAAAAAAATGTGTCGCTATAAACTGTAGCGCCAAAACGACTTTACCGATTTTAACGAAACTTGGCTAAAGTCTTCCCCCTGAAACCCTTTTAATTTATGTGCATAACATACTTTCCCGAAAACAAGCTGAAACATGTTACGATGAATTCAATATTTTATTTGGCTATAAATAAAAAAGTACAGAATCTTTGACCGATAATACCCATATTTATATGAAAGTTTTCTGAATTGCTGACAAAATAAAAAAAAATCATCGAAATCGGACGGTTCGTTGCAGAGTTATAGAGTTTTAAACATTTACTATTTTCTCTTTAGAAAAGGCCATTTCCTGTTGCTTCCTCACTACCGAAGGTAGGCAAGCATTTTTTTATTTTTTTTTTATTGATTAATCGAAAATCGAAATTACTACAGTGATTGAAATTATCATTTGAAGAAGTTATATGATTCTCCGTATGTAGGTCAATACTATTATACGTTCTTTATATTAATTTTTTATTTTAGTTTTATAAGTTCAACTCAGACTGTTTTTGATGACTATTAATGACGGCGTATTCACTCAGATGATTACGAATGCTCAATTTGAATCATGAAAAAAAAAATCATCAGAATTAGTTTAAA